CCCTTCGATTTGTATTGCATGCTTAAATTTTAGTTAAATGTAACCTACGTTCTTAATCTTTTTGCCCTTTTACTAATCTGTTAAAGCTTATAGATCACTTCTCAGGGTACCCCCACCACTGATTTTGAGACATGGTCATCTGTAACTCAGTCTGGCCTTTATATGTATCTGAGGCTGGGCTCGAGTTCCAGATCCTCTTTCCCCTACATCTCAAATGCTGGGATTATAGACATATTCCATCACACCTAGAATGAGGTCATTGAGGTTGGAATACAAGTATTAAGGTATAAAAAAACATTTAATATTCTTTAAAAGATGTATTTTATTACTCTTTTTGTGTGTAAGCACTGGTGTGTGTGTGTGTGTGTGTGTGTGTGTGTGTGTGTGTGTCCAGAAGAGGGTGTTGCACCTTTGGAGCTGATGTTACAGGCAATTGTAAGCCTCCAGACATGGTTTCTGGGAAGTGAACTCCGTCCACTAGAAGAACAGTAAGATCAGTTAACCACCTCGGCCAAATCTCTAGTCAGCCCCACTACCTACCCCTTTTTTTTAGTTTTCTGAGAAAGGCTCAAGTGTGGTCCAGGCTGGCCTCCAACTTACTGTGTACTTGAGGATGGGTTTGAACTCCTGTTCATTCTTCCTCTTCTTCAAAGTACTGGGATTACAGGCATGTACCACCTCCTGGATTTTCTATTGTTTGAGACAGGGTACTCTCTAATTCAGACTGGTTTAGAGCTCACTGTGTAGATGAGGCTGACCTTGAACTCAAGGCAGTCCTCCTGCCTTAGCTTCTGAGGTGCTGAGTTTATAGGCATGAGCCACTACACCCAGCTCAAAGACAATTTATGATTTGGTAATACTTAGTAGGTGTGTTACCTTTGCATTACTCTTACTGGAGGTAATCAGCTTATAAAGAAAGAAATATTTTTTGGCTTCTGGTTTTGGAGGTTTTACTCCATGGTGAGTCTGACTTTTGGTAAGACAGTATGTTATGATGAGAGTATGTCCTAGACCCAAACTACTCACCATATAGCCATGAAACAGAGATAATAGGGTGCCACAATCCTCTTTGAGGGCACAATCCCAGTGACACAAAACTCCTATCAGGCACTAGGCCTTATGCTTTACCCCAGACATTTAATGGGTGACATTTAAGACCTAAGCTATAACAGTAGGTGGCTAAATATCAAGGGCCACCTTTGATTTAGTGATGAGTATAAATGTAGACAGATAGCTGTAACCTGATGTATTAGTCACTTTTCTGTTGCTGTGATAAATAAAGCACAGTGGCCAAAGCAACTTATAGAAGGAAGGGTTTTTATTAGGCTTATGATTCCAGAAGTATATAACCGGCAGTAATTGCAGGGAAGTTGCAGGCATGGTGGCTGGAGTAGCAAGCTGAGCCCTCAATCTTTAATTGCAAGCATAGTACAGAGAAGAGAATGAACCCCAAATGGCAGTCTCTAAACTCCCAAAACTTGCCTCCAGTGGCATACCTCCAACAAGGCCACACCTTTAAAGGTTTTCCAAACAGCACCACCTACTGGGGAATGAATATTCAAATGCCTGTAACTGAGGGGAACCTCAGTCAAACCCGATTTGAAAGTACCAGTGATTTCTGTTAACAACAAAGTTAATAGATTCTGCTGTTGTGTTGTTTTTATTTAGGAAAAAAGGTTTCTTTTCTTCCTCACCATCCCAGTTTGATCTCCATCTTTGTTCCTTTTTCCTCACCCCCACCCCCTATAGTCGAACAGTTGTTAGTCATGTGCCTTGTGAAAGTACTTTATATTCATGTCTGACTTAAAGGACTTCACTAAATTTGCAGAAGTGTTTACAGTGGAAATAGAAATGTAAAATGTAGTGTTTTGATTTAATAAAAACTTACCTTATTTTAAGTTTTAAGGGGCTAGGAAGATGGCTCTGTGATATGAGCTGGTTTTTTGTGTTATTTATACCCCTTGAATCCTTTTGATTTCAGTGTCCTGGGCTCATCTAGGCAAGCATTTCTACAGGACTGGCAAGTTTCAGAGGGCAGATACTGGCTTGATCTTTCGTGTTGTATGGGTACTTACTGTGTGCAGCCTGCTTTTTCAGGGACTGGAGAGTAAGGCCCACAAGGTTTCTGTGGTTGCACTCAGATTGTACGTTCATTATGGTAGGAAATGTTGCTGTCTCTGTACTGTGGTTCTTCGCCAGTGGTGTGTTTTTGTTTCTGTTTTATTTATTTATTTATTTTGAGACAAGGACTTGCTATGTAGCTCAGGCTGCACTTGAAAGTGTGATGTGGTCTTGTGCTATAATGCTTGACTGTTGTTTAGCTTTTTTATTCGTCTGTTTATTTTTGAGACAGGATCTTATGCAGTCCAAATTGTTTTGAACTTTCCATCCTTCTCTCTCAGCTTCTCTAGCACTGGGATTATGGGCTTGTATAACCATGTTTGGTTTATGTTTGACTCTTTATAAAGAAACAAGTATTTAAAGTAGGCAAGGTAAGCAACTCCCAAAGTTTTGTCATGAAAGCAGCAATTGTCTACTTTTGGTTACTTGTGTTTTATTCTTATCTGTTTTCCTCTCTTCCAGGTTATTTTATCTCATTTAAAAAAAATTATTTTATGTGTATTAGTGTTTTGTCTGCATGCATGTCTGTGACCACATGTGTGTTTGCCTGATGCTTAAGGAAGCCAGAAGAGGGTGTTGGAGTCCCCTGGAACAGGAGTTACAGACTGCCGTTAGCTAGGTACTAGGTACTAGGTGTAGGTACTAGGAATTGAGCTCAGGCTTTCTAGAGTAACAGCCAGTGTTCTTGACCACTCCACTCCTCCCTTCCTGAGAATTTTTTGAAGTAAATCCACTATTCATATTTTAAATGTAAATAAACATTTCCATTGTCTCTAAAGGATAAAGATGTTTAAGGAGGAGCCTTATAATATTTTAAATTTAAACAAAATATTTTCTGTAGGATGGCAAGATGGCTCAGTGGGTAAAATACTTGCTACCAAACCTGTCTGAGTTCCATCTCCAGGAACTACATGGTGGAAGTTGAAAATTAGCTCTGACCTCTGCATGCAAACTATGGCAAGCATGTAGACCTCTTCCACCATACATAAAATAAATAAAATAGCAAATAAATAAAAGCTACAGTGTTTTGTGCTAAAATAAGTTGACATATTTAATGATACATTAGAAAATTGGTCAATTTTGTTTTGTTCCAGAGGATTAATCCAGGGCCTTATGAATGGTAACCCTTGTTCTGCAACTGAATGCCACCCTTGGCTCAAGAAATGCTTTTAAATTTGTGTTTAGGGGGGCTGGAGAGATGGCTTAGTGGTTAAGAGCACTGACTGTTCTTCCAGAGGTTCTGAGTTCAATTCCCAACAACCACATTGTGGCTCACAACCACCTTGAATGAGATCTGGTGCCCTCTGCTGGCATGCAGGCAGAACACTTTATAGATAATAAACAAACAAACAAATAAATAAATAAATTTGTGTTCAGTTAACTATGATATTTAAATTTGTGTGGAAAATATAATATAGTTATGTATCAAATTATTCAACCATCAGTTTTTCTTTGTAGAATTAAAGTAGTTCCACAGAGTTTTAAAAATTAAGATTTAAAAAATTAATTAACTTAAAAATTTTTATTTTAAAAATTAATCAATTTGTTTATGTGTGCTAAGCCACCTATAATTCTATCACTTAGGTTAAGACAGGATTGTTGTTCCAGGCCACTCACTCTTGTCTCAATCATGAAACCCTGCCTCAATAAAACAAAAACAAAACAATGAGAAAAATTGTGAGGTATAGGCCATCCTGGACTACATAGTGAGATCATGTCTCATAAACCCAAAAATCTGTACATGGCTGTTCCTTGGATGGCTTAGATCAGATTACGACATGTGTACTGTAGTTTTTTACTTCCTACCCTAATAATTTTATTTCATATTAGCTATTAACAGGATAGACTTTGTCTTCTGTCTAATTCCTCATATCTCACAGAACTCCTCTCAAATCATATTTTATATGTATTGATATTTTGCCTGCATGTAATAAGGCTGGGCAGCATTTGTATGTAGTGTCCACGGAGGCCAGAGAGGGCTTCAATCCCCTGGAACTGGAGTTCTAGACTGCTGAGTTACCATGTGCTGGAATTGAACCAGGTCATTTCAAAGAACAGTCATAGCCCTTCACTACTGGGCTCTCTCTCCAACCCCAAACAAATTAATAAATTTCAAGAGTATGTTACTTTGGAAACTAGTTCTAATTTTAGATCAGCTTTGTGTCCGAACTTAAAAAGCTGAAAGCCTTATCTTCTGAACTTCTGGAAAAATAGCAGAGTGTTTCGTTCAGTATGCAGTCTTCACTGCTTGTTGGTTTATGAATGCAACCAACCCGTTTAAAATATTTTAAACACAGTAGACCAAACAGTGTGCTGTCCTCATATTATTAGGAATAACACTGCTGTAACCTTCCTGTGTGTAGTTTGTTGGCTGTTGTTAAAACTACCCTTTCTTTTACTTACACTATTATTTAGATGTATTTTTATTTTATGTGTACAAATGTTTTGCTTGCATGAATGTATGTGCACATGTGAGTTAAGTACCCACAGGGCCCAGAAGAGGGTGTCATATTTCCTGGAACTGTTTTACAGTTGTGAGCCACCATCTGGATGCTGGGAACGTACCTATATCCCCTGGAAAAACAGCAAGTGCTCTTCATTCCTGAGCCATATTCCCAGTCCCCCTTTCTTAACCTATGATTGTCATTTTGTATTGTGTGTTATTTTGAATGCATTTTTTCACTTAATAATTTTTATTTCCATTAACCTATATGAAGATGTTATTATTTATATTCACATTTTTCCATTAGTGTGTTTTTGTTCATTTATATGTTTACTCTGTTGAATTATGGATAAGAACTCCTGTGCTTGTAAAAAACATTTCCAAAACCAAATAGAGAAATTAGTGATGTCTCTATATTTCTTTTTGTCTGTTTTAGGATGGCTACCATAGAGTAGTTAATGTTGTGCCAAAGAGACCACCTCTGCTAGACAAGAGACCGCCTCTGCTAGACAAGAGACCGCCTCTGCTAGCCAGACCTGATGAAGGAGGCTACAGTAGATATTACAGTCATGTTGATTACCGAGAATGTGACGAGGGCCGCAGTTTTTCTCATGATCGAAGAAGTGGCCCACCTCACAGAGGAGTATGTAAATTTCCCCCGTGTACTAATTGTTCTTTCTTTCAAGTTTAAAATTCATGTAACCAAAGTTTATGTGCAGGCCTTGGAAGTAGAATGGACACCTGCTGCTTGTGTTGTGTTCTTGTGTTGCTTGGCTTGGTTTTATTTGCAGCCCCTACCCCCTTTGCAATAGGGCCTCACTATACAGGTCAGGCTTGTCGGGAACTTGCTGGCCTCCTGTCTCAGCCTCTTGGATGCTGTAGTGCTAGGTTTTCAGGGGTTGGCTTCCATTCCAGCCAGGTGCTTTGACTGCTGATGTAGCTCTAAAGGATACTACTAGTCAAGAATCTTGTGATGCTGGATGGTGAGTAGGCACCCTAGGTAGCTCTAAGAGACATTAATTCCAGTGTGCTTGCTTTTTGTGAGGTGGTGGGCAGCAAGACTATGGCCTCACTCAAGCTAGGTAAGCACTCTCTGCTGAGCTGTGTGCCTGACCATACGTTGTTTTCCTTTTTACTTTAAACTTGTAGGGATTTACTGATAGTGATGTGCAGATGGCCAATACTTGGTCACTTCATGTCCCTGTTTATAATTGCTTCATTTTTAACATGAGAATGCTGTGGGTAAGGTGGGCTTAAGTTGATTTTTCGAATTCTTAAGGTCTGTTTGCTTTTAAGGTCTTTACTATTTGAGATTAGAATGCAGTCAAGTCATTGTTTCAGATAGTAAATGCTTAAAATGTTAGCTACTAAGATTAGCAATATGTTCTTGATAATCTAGAAATAGGTATTTAAGGTTTTGATAATTTATCAAAGTGTTGGAAGAGATTGGTATGTCCTAGACTTTACAGATTTACAATAGTTCTCTTCTAGGCTGTTTGCTTTCCTTTTCCCTTTTTTTCTTCCCCATAATATATAACATGGTAACCATTCTAATACATCTAAACACTGTGCTGTTTGCATGGTGGCAATTGAAGAAATGGAGGTAAGTGATTTCCTGAGGGTTAGCATGTATGGGAGTCCAGTTCTCATGATCCCTGATAATTCTAAAGTGGTAATGGGGCTTTTTAGTGGTTTGGTGATTATTGCTTAAGTCTGCAGTGCTACAGCTTTCTTCCTGGCATTGCTGGATTTTACTATGCTTATTTATAGTGCCGTGCTATTCCTTTCTTTAGGAAGGATCTAGATGTTGGAAAGTAAGCATTATTTCTGTACTAGAGATACTATTTTACTGTCAGACCCTTTTTCCAGGTAGTCTCAGGGAGAAAGGATTTGGTCATAGCAAAAGCATCTTGTACCCTTTCATGAAAACTCTTGTGGCCATCTGGTGAGTTTTGTTTTTGTTGGGCTTGTGTTTGATACCTCATGAACATGATTTTTTTTTTTTTTTCCGTAAAAACTTGTGGTAGTGTTTCAGCAACAGCACAGTTACTTTATTTCATTCTTCCAGATTGTCTGCACTGGGTCAGTTCAGGGGTGAGAGTTCCTGCTTTGCATGCTAAGAAGTATTCTGCTCAATCCACAGCACCACAAAACAAAACCACATTAATATGAAAACTTGTTATTCTTAGTCTTAACTGTTTTTTCTCTTTAAATAAATGACTAGTATGCCTGTGCTCCTTACAACTTTTACAGCACTAATTTTTATCTAGAACTTACTTAATGAAACTACTTACTGGGCCCAGTATTTTGTCTTGTTTTTATTTAACATTGAAAAGGAAAATATAGACACAGTTTATTTATACAAGTGTTGGGTTTGTGATGTTAATGAGGAAGATGAAAAATATTTTAGCTAAATCAGTTTCTCTTACTGCAAGTAATTTGCATGTTGTGTTTATTTTTTTATTTTTTGGGGATTTTTGAGACAAAGTCTCTCTATAACCGGACCTGTCCTGGAACTTGCTATTATAATCAGGCTGGTGTTAAACTTAGAGAACTGCGTGCTTCTGCCTCTGGAGTGCTGAGATTGAAAGCATGTGTCACTGTGGCAAGCCTAAATCTTATTTTTATTTTATTTTAATGGGTGTTTTGCCTGCATGCATATCTGCACTATGTGTGTCAGTTCCCATAGAGAGCTTTGGATCTCCTGGAACTGGAGTTATCAGATGATTGTGCACCACCTTTGGGTGCTAAGAATCAAACCTAGGTCCTCTGCAAGAGTAGCAGTGTCTCTTTGCACATGTGTTTTAGACGATCAAATGTGCTTCATTTGATTAATTTTAAATTCTGTATCTGATATTTAATATTGCTTATCAGTGATTATTCTTAGTAGATTGCTTATAATTATGTCTTTATCAAATGATAAATGAGAAAAGAAAATGAGAAAAATGGACAGAGTACCAAGTTTTTCCTTGAACTTGAACCTGAACATTGGTGAGAAAGCTTAGAAAATGAAAAGGTTGGACAGCGTGTGTATACTTGGCTCGCTTAGACTCTTGTCCTCAGACAGCAAATATCTCTTGTCAGGTTGAAATATGTATATGTGGCACTAAGCTTGTGTGAGTCTACCAAGGGAATAATGCATTTTTAAAAATACAGGTAAGTGGCACCACAGGTTTATAGTCTTCTTTAGTTGCTGAAATGGATGACTTGTATTTTTTATTATCTATGTTTTGCGAGTTCAGGAATACCTAGAGAAGTGTTTTTACCCACATTGTAATTTTACCTCAGAGGCTATTTAAAATAGGGTAACAAAAGCCAAATTAAATTTTTTATTTTACAGGATGATTCTGGCTACAGATGGACAAGAGATGATCATTCCACAAGCCGACAGCCTGAATACAGGTAAAAAGATAAGAATAATAAGTACTCTGATACTGGACTGTCTGTGATGTGTGCTGTGGAACTGTGTAGCTGGAGGCTTCTTTAGGGTTTGAATTTGAAAGCAGAAAGGAAGCATTATGTCTTTGTGACTGATGTAGCTAATAACTGGTGTTTCTCATTTGTTGGCATTTTATAACTGATGATATATATTTTAAAGTAAGTCTGAATATTGATAGTCTTAAAAATTGTTAAGTTCTTTTTTAAGATTTTATTTATTTATTATGTATACAACATTCTGCTTCCATGTATATCTGCACACCAGAAGAGGGCACCAGATCTCATAACAGATGGTTGTGAGCCACCATGTGGTTGCTGGGAATTGAACTCAGGACCTCTGGAAGAGCAGGCAGTGCTCTTAACTGCTGAGCCATCTCTGCAGCCCAAAAATTGTTAAGTTCTTAATGTTTGTGGATTATGAGATATAGTTTTCTTTAACTGGAAAGTAAAGCATTTTTTATTTTTCCCGAAGTAGCCTTTTGAAAAGTACTCAACCTTACAAAGTGTCTTCTGTTAGGTATTTTCTCTGGTGGTGTTTATTTATGTATTTGAATTATTTTTTTTGTTTATTTATTTACTTGTTTGTATATATGTATGTGTATATTTGTATGTAGTGAGGTTTGTATGTGCTGTGATGGAGGTCAAAGGGCAACTTTTGTGGGGGTTGCTATCTTTCACATTGTAGGTTCCTGGAACCTGTGATTTGAACAAGAAATGCATTGGGCTTATGTGCTGAAAGCTTGGTCCTCAGCTGATGGTGCTACTTTGGGAGGAGTGGAGAAAGTTAGGTCACTTTGGTCTTCATAGCTACTGGAAGTGAGTCTTCCACACATGCTCCCATTGCTATGATGTTCTACCTCACCTGGGTAAGGCAACTCAGCGTTACCCAACAAGAAATTCTCAGCACTTGGAGATAAAGAGGAACACTTTCATTATTTTGCTGCTAGAGCTAGGGGCCCAATCCTGATCAGAAATACTTAATAGCTTCTATAGGGATGGTTGTTGCCATAATCTTATCTCGGTGACCATTCTAGCCTGCTTTTTCATCCCTGCCCTAAAGGAGCGTTTTCCCAGAGCTAAACAAGTTTTACAGAAGGTGAAATTTTCAGGTTTCTAATCAAGTCAGTTTTATTTTTAGCAAACAGAACTTGCTGGGTATGCTCATTTCCAGAAAAAGAGGGAAAGGGCAAACAGGTTTAGAAAAGCAGACACCAGTAGGTAAGTTTTGTCTCTGTTGTCTCAGATCAGAGTTTCTTATTCCTGTGTAATTATTTCCCAAATAAGCTTGTTAATCTCATTTAATTACTGTTAAAGCATGCTGTTTTCTCCTCCTTATACGTAAGCTCCACAGCAGAGATGCAAAGCAAACCAGCTATGAATGGAAAGCTCTGAAATTGTGGTCAGGATTAAATCCTTGGTCCCTGAAGTTGCTGTTTCTCAGCTTTTGTCACAGTAGTAGAAGTCTCACAGAAGGTGGTGGCCAGGGTGGTTGGTGCTGTGGCCATGTGCTTCCTAAGCCAGTGGAAGTGTGTCTGTGATGTGAGGCATTGGTAATGTCTGTAGAAACAGCTTCACATGCTGCAAGTAGAGTTTACTGTGGTTCTGGTGAGAGCTCAGAAGCCCAGCATACAGATAAACAGGTAGTGTGGTGTAAGTAAGGACTGTTCATTAGAGTCATGCATGTTACATTGCAGCAAAGCCTTGTCTCATCTTGACCATATTCTGAGACTATGTCGACTGAATTTAATGATAAAAGACAAGTAAATGTATTGGAAAAGATTTGAAGGCAGCCTGGTATTTAGGTTATGGTATGCTTATTGCTGGTCTCTTACATCCAAGTTTATAGTGAGAATTTGAGCAGAAAGCACAGTGGGAGGTTTAAAAGTTTGTACTTTTAAAGTTTTGTGCTGAGAAAACAAGTAAATATATATGAAGAAGTTGAAACCAAGCAAAGTATAGCTAATAAGGAGATCTGATCTATGATAAAGAAACCGTGGTCTGGGGATGCAGCTCAGTGGTAAAACACCTTCCTTCCTTCCTTCCTTCCTTCCTTCCTTCCTTCCTTCCTTCCTTCTTTCCTTCCTTCCACGTTCCATTTCTCTCTCTCTCTCTTATTCTTCTTTAACATTTGTTTTTATTTTATGATTATGAATGTTTTGCCTGTGTTTATGATACGTACCACATATATTCCTGATACCCAAGGAAGCCAGAAGAGGAAGTCAGATCCCTTGGAACTGCAGTTATAGTTGGTTGTAAACTCTCATGTGAGAATGGGAACTGAACTTAGGCCCTCTGCAAGGGTAGCACATGCTCTTTACTGTCTCTCTAGCATCAAGCAGAACGCTTTCTTAGTATGCCCATGACCCTGGGTCACATCATTAACACTTAAAAAGCCAAGTACTTGGAAAATAAAGAAAATGCCTTAGATCATCTCAGGAATTAACTTTCCCAACCTGTGAATATTTCTGTGTATAACTGTTAAGGCACTTAGGATGCTGTAGGGGTAGAAGGCCCAGCTATTGGTTAAGCTGGAAGCTGACCTTGGTTTTATCCACATGACAGGTTTTTTAGACAGGCAAAATGGAAGTGCCATAGAGACTTTACTTCCACCAAGATTTCAGAGGAAACCATAGGAGGCCAGGCAGTATATGGCAATGTGAGAGTTGCTGGAACCTGCCCCCTAAAGGGCAGTGTGTGAAGCCCAAGCTGCAGTTGATAGTTAAGGAATTTGGAGATGTTAGGAATGTGGAACATTTGTTCTGGAAAGTTGCAGGCTGCCCACTAGATATTACTTGCAATGAGAAAGGCTGTAGGGGCAGGACTGCTTAAGCATTTTGGGGCCCATATCATGATACTCAGATACTCTGGGATGCAGTATGTGGAGCTATAGGATTTAACGTTTTGGGCTTGCATTGGCTCAGTTCTTTGCTATTCTTTCTTTTGGAGTAGGTATTTTACTGTTTACCATTGTATTGAGTAGCTATTTTGTCTGAATTGAAGCATTCTTTTTAGGGGGGAGAGGAAAGCTCAGGAAACTAATGGCACACAGCACAAGAAACTCAGATAATGGCAAAATTCACAAAGCTCCTCCCCTTTATTATAAATGCAGTGAACAGCATCAAAGCTGAGATCCGAAGAGCCCAGCAGAGCTGACTGTAAGTCCTATAGGGAGCCCCGGGGACATTCCTTTTTTTTTTTTTTTTTAATTCTCATCACCCTTGTTGAAGTGGGCTTTAGGGTAACACAGCCACTTGAGGCATTTACATTCTTGTAAGTAACCTGAGCCTTCAATAAATGTCTGCTTGTCTTTTCTGGGACAAAGAAGGAAAAGTCACAGAACACATTATATCATGTAAATATGTGACTGACTTTTGCAAGGACTCACAGCTGAGAGTTTGCTTTGAGTCTCAGAAGAGATTTTGCTCTTAGACATTTGGACAATGCTAGAACTGTTGCAACTATGTATAGTGGTAGATTCCTTTTCTGGTTTTGAGGCTAGCCTAGTTTATTATTGATTGAGTTCTAGGCCAACCAGGGCTAAATAGTGAAATCCTTTTCTTTTCTTTCTTCTTTTTTTTTTTTTTTTTTGGTTTTTCGAGGCAGGGTTTCTCAGTGGCTTTGGAGGCTGTCCTGGAATTAGCTCTTGTAGACCAGGCTCGTCTCGAACTCATAGAGATCCACCTGCCTCTGCCTCCTGAGTGCTGTGATTAAAGGCGTGTGCCACCAGCGCCTGTTGAAATCCTTCTTAAAAACAAAGACTATGGGGAAATCTTGGAAGAGGATTGAATGCACTTTACATTCCAGGATGGACATGAGCCTGTTTGGGGCTAAGATGTAGTGCTGCGTTGGAATATGAAGCGCCCCTCACAGGCTCATACATTAAATACATGACTCCTAGTTGCTGGTGCTATTTGGGGAGATGCTAGAAACTAAAAAATGGGGTTTTGTTGGATGAAGTGGGTCACTAGGTGTGTGTCCCCAACTTAAGATCTGAAATCATGAGCCAGAATAGATGTTGTTTTCCTTAAGTTACTTTCTCTTATGTATTTGTCATAGTAAGAAAAGCTGACTAATACACAGTCCCTTAGAGATCTCATGAACTATTTTTTGGGTCATAGATGAGAGCTGGTCATCTAGGGGTACCATAAGTTCATTCTGTAGATGGTTGTCCTGAGAAGAAGACTGGAAAGCAGCAGACTGAAGGGAGATGTCAAAGTAAGGACAGAAGAAGCAAAGGTTCTACTGGAGAACAAGTGACAGGAGGAGACAACACAGGACAACAGCCATGGCAGGGGGCTACACAAATAACACACTTGTTGAAACAGAGAGACAGCCCCATTAGGGTTATGGACGGGACCCTTGAAGTGGTGGGGTATCTGAGTCAGCCCTTTCATGGGCCCTGGGATCCTCCTCTTTCCAGACCCCACTTCATAATCGTTGGTTCTACCAGCCATACCTTAGCAACTTGTGATAGTTACAGAGTCCTGGGGAGGAGAGGGAGATAGGCCTAGGAGTAAGGAACAGCCAATCCATGTTTCCCAGGTCATTCCAGACTCCCTTGATCCTCCTTTACAATGGCAAGGAGTAAATTGCCACAATTCCATGCATTTCAGAATACTAAAATACATCCTATCCACTCAAGTCAGTTACTATTCACAGTACAGTAGTCAGATGATGGATTAGTGTGGGAGTGCCTGTTATAGCCACTCCAAACCCTAGAGTTTGCTACAATAGGCAGAGATGGTGGGTATGCATACGTGGCTCAACTGTGGCTAAGGAACCTGTTATCTAGAGCTACAACCTTCACTAGCAAGTAGAAAGCAAACCCGTTCCCTTTTTCTTGAATAAGTAGTTAATTCACAGTAGTGTTGTGATCACCTTGTCTTAGGTGATTGTCTCTGTAAAAACTGCTCAGTAGCCCTGGGTGATTAAATCTTAGAGTTTGGCAAATGGCTGCAAGAACA